AAGAAAGAAGAGGAATTGAGGCGAGAGAGTAAGTAAAGGAGGAAGAGAAGAGGAAGAAGAAGAAGAAGGGGAAGAGAAGGAGGATGTGAGGATGAGAGCAAGTACATGTACATGTACAAGGCAGGCAAGTCGCAGGAGGAGTTTTGGGGATGTGGAATTTTCTCGCTCACAACGGAATCAATTCCAAGCCAATAATGGATGGGCAAACCAATGGAAGCCTACGGGAGAGAGGGAGTCAGTCAGTCAGTCAGTCAGTCAAGCCAGTCCGTCACGGATTGTTTGAACTGAGCGAGTGAGATCAGATGCAAGGTGACATGTCTCGGGCTCCGAGGGTGGCAGCGCCCTGATTGGGTCAAATGGAGGTGTGCTCGTCCCCCCCATCTGAAAGCCCACCGCTCATCGGCACTACAGAAGTGGAGGAGGAGCCGCCGCCGCCATCGCCGCCGCCCTGTTGAGGGTTTTTAGAGGGGGTTTCCCCGTAGGTGAAGTGCCCAGGTGGCTAGGTTCCAAGGCCTTGAGGACCGCTGAAACTATAGCGGTGTTACAGTTGGAAGGCTGTCCTATCGGGTAAGCTCGTGACAGTGCCCGTAACCCGAAATCCGAAGACAGCCAGCCAGCCCAGCCCGCCCGTTGAGTAAGTTAAATTGACGATGATGATGAATCCTTCTCAACAATGAAAAGGATCCAAATGCTGACATTGGCATTGACTATTACTAGGCCGTACATAAGTAAGGTAATACAGATTCAATGCCTCATCACTAACTATCCATCCTAGCAGGGTAGAGTAGCACTTGTGCATCCTCCAGATCTACCTCTTGCCTGGGCATCGACCTCCCCCTCCTTACCGTTTCTGTATTGTTGCAGAAGGCCAAGCCAACAATTGATCAAAACCCCTCCATTCAATCCGCATCGTCCTCTCTCTCTCTCTCGGGAAACCTCTCCATTGGATCCAATGGATGGATTCTTCTCTCAGGTTCTTCTTCCAACCCCCACCTTTTAGGTGACAGTTCCCTGTAAGTAGGTTACAAGTCTCTCCCCCCCCCCACACCCCCTGTAAATCCTCCATCCATCCCCCCTTCGGGTTGGTTTCCTGTAGGGGCTCCCTGTAACCACCCGGGCACCCACCCACCACCACCACCACCGCCACAACTAATATGTATGCACAAGTGTGACAAGATTCCGTAGGAGGAGAGGGAAAAAAAGGTCCATCCATGCCCCTCCAACAATGCAACACCAATTCTGCCACCTCCATCATCTGCATTTTCGCACTTCCCTTTGTTTTCTTTCATGCAAGGACGGGTTAGTAGGTAGAAATGCAGTCAGACAAGTCCCCCTCTCTCGTCTCTTGCCCAATCATTTTCTTCACCGCCAACAAAACCAGCGGGCCCTTACCTATCTAGATGTCGATGCTGCGATACAGTGCAGTTTTTGTCCGAATTCGTACTGTATATCAAACCACTTGGTTTTATAGCGATTGACTTCCATGCGCTAAAAAGGAACGATAACTTGGACTTGCTTGAAGAGAGAGAATTATCTCAAATGACATATATCCATGATTTAAGTGTTTGATTTAAAAGAAGTCCCCTTCGTCAGCGCTATATCCAGCATCAGCCTTTGCATGAACGGGATGATCATCATAGAACACACCTCACCTCACCTCCGTTTCGAGGGTACACTGTGTGTCTCAACATCTCTGTATGTATGTATGGATGCCAGCCACACAACCTGTTGTTGATCTCTCCTATTCCCATTCCCAAGTCCAGGTTTGCATCGCTCCGTTCGCTCGGGCAAAGTAACAGAAATCCTTTACACATCGAGTAATCCCATACAATGTGGATGATTGGAATGCAACCGCCCTCCAGACCATCAACTACCTCCCCGGAGATCCTACAAAGTGACCTGTCACCAACGCCGTAAGAACTCTTCTCTAATATAGATCTGACCTTTGGGTCGTCATCGTTTTCCTCTTCAAGTAAGCCGGTATATGGGGAAACAATCTCACCTTGCATAATATTGAACATTCAGATACTCGGCTTGATCACTACCTTGAGAGGGGCATCGTCTTACTCATATGGTTTCAATTGCTTTGCGTTGCATACTCATCTGTACACATGCGGGTACTATATCTCGAGTACATTATTTCATCCACCACTAATGATACAGATTGGACAAGTCCTCTCTCTCCACCAAGGGAATACCGTATAATACTTACAAAAAAAACTCGTCATCCAAATGTAGACGTCCATTTGCCTACCTTGCATAGATAGGTAGTACTTCATCTATTGCGGCCCCTTTACGACCAGCGGCGGTGCTCCGCGCAGTCGTCTCCAGCGATTACTATTCTCAATCACATCCCTATCAAACAGAAACCACCACCTCTCGAAAAACACCTGCCCGACCTCCCAGCTGCTCGGGTTATACAGGTCGTCGCCGTATATCCTCACCCCCTCCGAGTTGTCCTCAAAGTCGTAGGCAAAGTTCACCATGGCGAGCGGGCCCGTGGCGTTGGGCGGCCTCATCGCATCGGGCAGCGAGAATATGCCAATCGCCCGGTCCCGCACTCCGGGCCACGGCAGAAAGTCCAGCAGCGGGTGGTGAGGAACCAGCACCTGCGAGGACGTGGGCTGCCAGTTGGCGGGGAGCTGGTCCACCGGCGTGGCCGCCCCCTGGTTGAACGGCGACACGGCGTCGATCTTCCAGATCTGCCCCCTACAGCCGATACGCTCCGCTATGCGAATGATGGCACGGAAGAGCGTCAGCTCATGGACCGGCAAGAGGTAGCTATCCGGGAAGCCCGCATCTGACGACGAGTTAGACATGTTTTCGAACGAGGACGGTGAGCCAGAGCCGAAGCCGAGAGGGAACATCTCTGCGAGGCCGCCGCCGCCGCCGTCGAAGAGGAGGCTTTCTTCACCGGATGATTCGCCCGTCAGGAATTCGGGGAGGGCCCCTGAGTCTGGCAGAAGCGATGATAATGTTGCGTCGTTGAGGGGGTCCCAGCTGGTGAGGTTCAAGTCGAGGCCACTTAGACTACTGGTTCCGACGAGGGTTGCAGATTCTGATGCCGATGCCGACGCTGATTGACCAATCTCAATAATTTCATCATCTAGCATGAGTTCTGCTGCTGCTGCCTCCGAAGTTTCACTTTCATGTCTCTCACTGTCTTCTTCGCTTCCCTTGCTTTCGCCGCCTTCTTGCATGCGGCGCTGTTGTCGTTTCCTCTCTCCTACCCTGGAGGTTAGCCATCTAAACATGAAATGTCCAGGTCGCCATGCTCTATCTGTGTAAATGAACTCACTATATCTCCTCTGAGCCAGGACATTGAGTACTCGCTTCCGCTCCGACGCATTTGCTTCGATATCCGGGACGTCTAGGCTGGGTGGCGGCTTGTATATCCGCTGTCTCGTTCGAGGTTTTCCTGAACCCGAAGCTTCTGGTGCCTTGTCCGCCATGATCGATAAGTCGTATACTGATCTCGCTCAAGCACAATTCGTCTCTCTGAGATTGATATGAAAACGAGGATAGACAAAAGGAGTGACCGATCGCCAATAACATTTATAATGTTCAAGTCACGACGCCATCTCACCCCCGGGATAGCCTAGCCTCAGCATAACGCTTAAGAAAATTATACTGGGACGCACTGTGCTGGCCTTACGGATAAGAGATACTCTCTCTGTCGCACATTCCGCGCTAGAGGTGGAGGTATTTCTTATCTCAGTTTTGTTTCAAGTGCGGACCGGACAGTGTGAGCTATTTCCGCTCCAAAACTCTCCCGAGACACCATCACAAATTGGAAGGTCGATGCATTGCTGATGGGCGTCAAATTGGCATTGTTTCACTAAGTGAATTCGCTCTTGGTATTTGATGCCATCATGACTCAAGACATGTAAATAGGCCGAAATAGGTCATGGAGAGCTGCTGCCAAAAATCAACGAGTGTCGGCATTGTTTCATTTTCAGCCTTGCCCGACATCACTTACAGGAACAGTGCCGGTCTGACTTCTCTCTCTCCCCCAAGAGATAGATATGAGTCCTAGCCCGCCTCGTTCAGCATCACCATCGCAGCGTGTCAGCGCGTCGTTCGTTTCAGGCTTCTTTGGGACAAAAGGTATGGCCATCCATGCTGGTGTAAGCCGGAGAAACCCGCTCCGTCAATTGTATTATGAGGATTTTTTTTTGGTACGAGAAGTATGTTTGGGTATGATATAACAAAGACATGTAAAGGACGTCGCAGGTTCGCAAACTGGAAAGGTCGTTCAGATATTATATATGTATAATGTGTCTCTCTGGAATCCTTCCCATAACGCTGAACCATAACGTCTTCGCTACACCTTGTAGGCTAATATATGGCGTCGTTATTGCACAGGACCGGGGCAACGGTACGAGTGACAGCTATCCAAATACGTTATAGGCTAATCAAGTTTTAAGGGTCTTCTCTTCGCCCCCCTGTCTTCTTCCTCTCCATCACATCGCCTCCACACTATTTCATGAGCATCATCATGAGCCGCCGTATGACTGTAGACTCTGATGTGCCTCTCAAACGTCCCTTTTCACCCCCTGCGAGCATGACTGAACCATCGAGTACTGAAGAGAGAGCATTGTGCTGGATATCTACCTATTGAATGTGTTCACATAACAGGATGAGAAGACGCAAAAGATGAGCATACCTGTCTACTTTAGAAGTCATTTTTACCTTTCCTTGAGTCCCCATATCATCCAAGGTACCTTCCCTGATGGAAACCAAAGAGTGCGCGCTTCATGTGTACACTGTGAAAGCATAATAGGTCTCACCCATCACCTTAATCACGCTCCCAACAACAACAAAAAACCCCTCGATTCAGAGAAAAGAAAAAGAGAATGAACCACCTTTTCGGCACGGCAAAAAAGACTCTACTATTTGATACATAATCTACTTAGCCGAAGAGTGATCATGAGCCAAACGAAAAAGAGAAAAAAGAGAGAGAAAAAAGAGAGGGAAAAAAGAAGGAAAAAAGAGAGAATTGAGGCACACCCGATTCGAACGGATAACCTTCACTGTGAAATTCATTAGCTCGCTGCCCCGTTTGAGCGGTAACTTTTGGTGTGCTCTTACGGAAATTCCAAGTACTGGAATCTGACTGTGTTCTGAATTAGTCTAGGAGTATGTGGGGAAGAGGAAGAGTATTGGAGACATACCGCGCTACCGTTGCGCCAGCGCCCCTGGTTGTATTGCAGGCATCCATATTATTTCTATATACTCCAAAGCAATCTCCAAGGCACACACACTTGGTCTTCCAGGATGCCGCCTCGACATTTCAAGAGGAACAGGAAGCACATTTAAAGTATATTCGATTGGGAAGAAGCCTCTAACTCTGCTCTGTCATGGTGGTATCAAAGTAACCTCATGCGTGCAGCCAATGGAGAAGTTTATTTGCCTTGATGAATTCTGTGGAAAAGACAATTTTTATTCATACATAAATATTAACGCTGTTTAAATATTGAAGAACTAGTTGGCTCTTCGTGTGGTGACATGTGGAAGGTGATGATGCTTTGGAGAAGGTTATAAACCTTTCTTTACAAGCGGCTAGGTATTCATGCTTTAATGGTTTCATACCATCTCCACTGCACAGCTAACTTATAGAGCCACTACTACGTAGGTTGTGGGCAAGCTTCAAGGCTGTCCGGGTTTTGTCTATAAAAACGCATACCTCCCTCCCTCTTATACCTCTTCTTTACTCTTCTTCTTTTCTTCTTGGATGGCACACGCACCAGGTTAGTTAATTATGGTGCATTATGGCAGACAAAGGGCATTTCAGCATATGACGATGCAAAGCCAGTGTCACGCCAGTCCCACGACTGTACTTTTATGTTGGCCTTTCACGGGAGCAGTACAAGCACTGACCAGCTTGACTGCAGACCGCGGGCCACGCTGGGGACTATGATGACCATCATTTATCGGGAGGTGTTGCTTCCCGGAGGGCCTACCACGGCCCTCATTGACTGCTGAGTCCCCAGGAATGGCTCCCCCAGAGCGAGACAAGCTTTCCAGAAAAGGGGCAAGGCGGCTAGTAGCCAAAGAGTTTTGAGATGCTTGCCTAAAGTATGCAGCTCTTAACGTGCCCTTATGGAAGGAGAATTAAATCACGGAGCTCGTCTGAATGCAAATTACGGAAAGGGAAACCGCACGAAACGACGAGAGATGGAGTACGAAATGTGTATCGCAGGGTCATTATACGTTCTTATATCTTCTCAGTCACGTCCGTTGGCCATATCTGCCATCGGAAGAGAGTGTTTGCTCTATTAGCAGCATTAACAGCTATTTCCACAGTTTTGGCACATCTGTCGAAGCAGCATGACCCATAGAAAGCTCAGAAGCCATTACAGCAACTTTCTGGGCTCTTCGATGCATCCATCCATGGATATTGTCATCTTGGCAGCTCAGGATCTCCAAGGGACCGCCCCTGCATTCCCGCCTCCTTCCACACTGCATCACTTTTGCATTCTCCCCATTCTACAGAGTACATCCAGCCCATTGAGCTGTTACTTTCTCTACGTTGCATTCAGGCACTACCTACCCAGTAGGCATGCCTTGGTCCTTTTGGCGGGCTCTCCTGCTAGACAAGATACAGATCTCACTCACCGTCTCTCCGGCTTCTGGTCTCTAGGTAAACCTCTTCTCCTTACGTTTTCTCTACGTTGACTTGTTAACGACAGCCAAAAAATACTAACAGCCGCCGACTTTTCACTCTTTATTTACGTTCAAACCATAACTAGCTCGTGATATATTCTTTCACGATCCCAACTGCTACCTGTTCATATCACTTATCCCAAGTTTCATCTTAGCAGCCAAGCAACGGCTGGCTTGAATAGTTTATAATAAGCTGCTGGAGCGAGAGATGTAGCGAGTCCGTTACTCCTTTTTACAATGAGAGGTCTAACTAGGACCACCCTACTAGGTAGATACCGCAACCAAGGGATGGAAAGTTGCAGTTTTCGGAATGGTGTCTCTATCTCGCAGAGCTTTATTATGGTTCTAGTCTTGAATGCGTCCCTACACTGTTAACTGGCTTGTCTTTTCACCACGGCCTTTAAGCGGACAGATCGCTGGCCTGAGCAATTATAGAAATCCCTCATATAAGTCATGGTCTAGGACAACAGCATGCTTCTCAACCACCAAGGGCAACCCTTCAGCCGCGAAACAGTGAACCTTGGGGAAAATTGATTAGCATTAGGACTTAGTTAGCCACATTGAGAGAATCTTCCTAAGCGGGTAACAAGAAGCTTCCATTTGATCTTTTATTATAGCGTAGTACACGTTATTGTAGGCATAATATAACGGCTGGTTTAGAGTTACATACTGGGTTTCTTGGACCACCGTCCGGAACGGAAGCATGGGGTAACGGAGCGTGCCGAGGTTGGCTGTCAATATAGTCGGGTAAAGGTCGGGAGCACTTCATCCGAGAGAAGCTTCCGTAGCTCAGTTGGTTAGAGCTTCGTACTAATATTCCGAATCGGTCAGATTCAAATATTGGTAATGCGAAGGTCGCAGGTTCAAGCCCTGCCGGGAGCAATGCCCCTGAATGCTTCCTTCATTCGGCCATTCGGCCTCTATTTTTGCATCTTTTTTTGCTTCCACGTAATAGACCATGAATGTTCTTTCTCCTCCCCCGTCTTCGTTGGTTGATTTGATGCTTCTGTAAAACTTTATTCTGATAGAGATATTCATTTATTTGGAAGATGTGATATATGAATTTGATGGTGATGTGCTTGCTATATAGATGGCAGTTTGGCGACGTCTTCGATACTAATATATGTATATATAAATATAGATATGCTTTGACTTTGCTAAAAATGAATTAATCAATCCAGCTTCAATAACCTTTAGGAAGGCAAACAAACAGACTTGGCCTCTACTACCAAAACTCTCCATCCAAGTTGCCCCTTCAACACCATCAAAACTTACATGGAGGGCGCTTGCCCCCCCTAAAGTCTAAACAAAAGACACAAAGTAACAAGTGATGACGATGACGCTTTCACTCACCATGCTCATGCTCACTAACAGAGAAAACGATTTTACCACATTCTAGCTATCCCATCAAGCACAATCAATATCCAATCTTGATCGACTCCTCTCTATAACATTCTCACATCCATTTTCATCATGGCACATCGTATTACTCTCCCCCTCCCCCTTCCCCTTCCCCTCCGCCCCCGTCCCCCTGCCTCATCCTCACCAGACACCTACTTCCCTCGCGGCCAACCACCATTCTCTAATAACAACAAGAGTAACAACAACAATAATAACAACACCCAGTCCACCACACCCAACAGCTACAACCGCTCCAGAGCCTTTTCGATATCCCGCCCGCACTCACCCAGTCATGGCTTCAAGCCCTTTGGCGGCGGCGGCGCCTCGGACTTTGAAAACGACAAGGAGAACATGAGACTTCGTGGCTCGACGGATCTATCACCCATCGGCTCCGAGGATGAGGACGAGGACGAGGAAGCAGAGAGCTTTGAGCGGCAAGCCAACCCGCGCACGTGGGGTAACGTGGAACAGTCTCCGTTCCTGCATCATGGCGCCATGTTGCCCATGGGGAGGCGTGAAGCTCCCCGGCCTAGGTGGCGCAAAGATGTCGGTCCGACGGCGAGGTACAATGGCGGCAACGAAGTGCCCGAGGACACGACATCTATGCTGTACGCGCCTACTACTCCGCCTCCTTCTCGGATGCTCGCCCCAGACTGCGACCAATTCCTTAAAATGATGGACGAGAAACTCCAACTCGAACCACACAAGGCAGTTCAGGGAGCAGCAACAGCAGCAGCAGCAGCAGCAGCAGCAGACCACAACATCCCCCATGTTCGCAGCGCCTCTTCCTCATACCCTTCCCAGGGAAACGCCTCCACCCGGGTCCAATCCCCAGACTCCATTCTTCGTGCCAACAGGCTCAGTCTCACGGACCTGTCCCGCTTCAGCCGCGCAAACGACCGCCTCTCCAACCTCCGCTCCAGCTCCTCCCTGTCAGAACTCCATGATCGCAGCACCCGGGAGAACCAAGAGGTGCTCCAAGAGTCAAGCTCCGCCATCGCCCAGTGGCAAAAGGAGCTCCGTCCAAGGCCATCGTCCTATCTCCAGTACGAACTATCGGAAAGCGCAGAGGTTCTACCTTCCGACTCTCTGTCTCAGCAGATGCCGTCCTCGTCGCGGGCCAGTCCATCCCGAGCGGTGGATTCGCCCGGCCTCACATGGCAAGGCCTCCACGCCATAAGGGCCCAGTACGACGGCGTTCACGAAGCAAACCTCCCCTCTCCTACCCCTGAGCTCAACTCTCCGCCGTCTTACGCACCCCCGTCATACACTCAACACTTGCCCGGCAAGCAATCAAAACGCAAGGCTTCTTATTTCTCTCTAAGAAGCCTGAGCAACATCTCCCTCGGCAAGCGCCCGCGCCTGGGTCTGCGTAAATGGGCCAACAACGTGTACCAGCAGGGCAGTAACCGCCTCCGCCTCGCCCGCCAAAAATTCAGGGAGCAAGCAGAACTCGATCGCAAGATGTTTGAAGCTTGGCGTATACAACGCCGCGACCGCCAACAACCCCGCCGAAGTCATAGGAAGGAGGCCAGTCCCCCGAGACCAAGACCAAGGTATGGCGGAGGCTTTCCCGAGCGCAGGACCGACGACTGGTGGAAGGAGGGTGTCAGTCGCTTTGAAGCACCAAAATGGATGTTCAGGGGAGCGAATGGCAATGGCGTCTCTCAAAATCAGTAGCTAGATGTTATAGGGGGAGGGAGGCAAGGGTAAACTCGAAGAACGCAAAACAGGATATACACATTAGTGTGCGTAAGATGGGAAATAATATTATTATTCATTTCAAATGTGTTTCTTCTATAATAACGTTGAGCTCATTATCCTTTATATATCCAGAAAAAACAGTTCCTCCAACTCCAGTCTTTTTTGTTTTGCAAATGCCCGAGATGAAAAAAGGCCCCCTTGTGCGTGAAAAAAAAAGAGAAAATAGAAATTATCAAATTAATCATATTACAGCATATATCGAAACGTATCGTCCTGTCGGGATTTCTTGCCCGGATCGACGAGGCCTTCTTCCTCGACGGTAGTACCAGCCGCGAGTCTCGCTTCCTCAGCCTCGTCCATTTTTCGATTAAGATATTGGAGATATACCCTGAGCACGGCGGCCAAGCCCGCGACGCCGAGCATAGCCA